GATCTTTTAACATTGTCTGTTAGGAAATAACGGCTCATTTATTACGTAATTTCTAAAAGTAATTATATAGAGCGCCGGTTTTTTAGACAATTAACGTAAACGAAGCCTTTAGCGTTCAGTCAGGATGGTGTCTGGAGTGAGTTGCTCTAACACTACTTGAATCTGTATTTATCTCTGCAATTGTAACAAAGTATTACATTGTTAACGTGCAATTTTATCATATATAATATTGTACTTTTAGACTCTTTATACTTATCCTAAAAGTCACGGTGCTTACAAAGTATTGATTGCTGCAGCATACAGCGGTGCCAGCGTCACAGTATGTCCAAATTTTGTATTTGGCAAAACTAATGAGGATAAAGAGTTTCTGGAGAAATTTCCTCTTGGAAAAGTGAGTTAAAAGTGCTATAAAGTGTTGGATTTGCAACTAATTTTGCATAAGTTTTGTTGTTTTTTCTTGTGAATTGTATTATAAGTATTATTACTTATAATTTAATTTTAAAATGTGCTTCTCTAAAAATTATAGTTATTTTTTATTTAATTTTAATTTGTATTTTTTAATCAATAGATATAAGTAAAAATATAAAATGTACCATGTATACCATATACATTTTAAATTTTATATTTTGATAATATAAATAAATAGTGCCATGTTGTCTTATAGTTTGATAAACATTTAAGGTTCCGGCATTTGAAGGTAATGGCATATATCTGAGTGAAACCAATGCTATTGCACAATATGTTTCAAACGAAGAACTTCTTGGAGGTACATGTATTGCAAATCGAGCTCTTGTGCAAGAATACATTGAATTTGGGGACTGTGAAGTTCTGCCATCTGCATGTACATGGACCTTTCCAACTCTTGGATTTAAGCAATACAACAAACAAGATACTGATAAAGCCATGTCTCAAATCAAAAAGTGTTTAGCATACCTCAATGATATTCTTTTAACAAGAACTTTTCTAGTTGGTGAGCGTGTAACTCTAGCTGATATATCTCTTGCTGTTAATCTTCTCACCTTGTATGTTCAGGTAAATTATGTTTTTGTTAGTTATGTTCCAATAAGTTAGTAAAGTTAATTAATTTGTCATCTTTTGGTTAAAGTACATTTAGTAATAGTATTCAATAGTTCTACATGAAACAAATAAGTATCTATAAAATAATTAACTATGTTATATTTGAACTGAGTTAAATCTAAAATTCCTTTAATTTTCCTTTTAAAAATTTAGAGTAAAAGTTTCATCAGAATAGAAAGAATATTAGAATGATTTTTTGGTACTAGTTATTTATAAAAATTAGTATATAATTTGTAAGTCAACTAGATAAAGATTTACTATGTTTATAATTTTACTATCATCATTTTTTTTTATGACTAAATTTTTTTTAACCAAATTGATAACAAGTTTTAAAATTTTATTCATTAGTGACTAAAACATAAAAAACTAATTAATTTTTGAAAGTGTTGACAAGTATGAGCTATTTTATTTTTAACCATTTGTAAATAAAATCATTTATCAGCCATCATTGCTACTATACCTCATCAGGTCACGAGTATTTTTTTTCAATATATAAGGAAATTTAGGTTGCTGTTTATTAATAAACACAAAAATATTTCAATATAAGTTAGTTGCCATTCCAACAACCTGTATCGTTTTAAATATTATATGGGCTGGTAGTTTGGCTAAATGCAACATTCCCTTTTAAAACCCTTGCAATTTATGTTGCATGGATCCTGTCTGGGGAGAAACTTTTATTACATAATTTATTTAGCCCTTGTAATTAGAATTGGCATTTAGTAATGCCAGTCCAAAAGTGTTTGAGGTCAACAAAAATCTTTGCCCTTGTTTTTATGTTTTATAGTAAAACCTTTGTCAAATTTTTTTTTTTTTTTGACCTCAAGAAGATTAAGGTTAACAAATTATTGCTGACCTTACTTTTTCGAATTCTAAGGATTATATGTATAATTTTTTTCCTAATAACTGTAGGAAATTTGTGCTGTTTTCATTACCATTGAATATTGCATGAAACACTGCAGAATAAAATCAAAAGTGTTATTCGTGAAGATTTGAGTCTATTTATTTCCTTGTCTTCCCCGTGACACTTTTACATTAACATTTTTTAGTTGTACTATAATTTAGTTGCCATTCCAACAACCTGTATTGTTTTAAATATTGTATGGGCTGGTAGTTTGGCTAAATGTAACATTCCCTTTTAAAACCCTTGCAATTTATGTTGCATGGATCCTGTCTAGGGAGAAAGTTGTTATTTTTTATATATAATTTTTTAAAAAAAACTGTAGGAAATTTGTGCTGTTTTCACAACAATTGAATATTGCATGAAACACTGCAGAATAAAATCTAAAGTGTTATTCGTGAAGATTTGAGTCTATTTATTTCCCTGTCTTCCCCGTGACACTTTTACATTAACATTTTTTAGTTGTACTATAATTTAGTTGCCACTCCAACAACCTGTATTGTTTTGAATATTGTATGGGCTGGTAGTTTGGCTAAATGTAACATTCCCTTTTAAAACCCATGCAATTTATGTTGCATGGATCCTGTCTGGGGAGAAATTAATTTATTTTTTTTCAGAAAACTGTAGGAAATTTGTGCTGTTTTCACTACAATTGAATATTGCATGAAACACTGCAGAATAAAATCTAAAGTGTTATTCGTGAAGATTTGAGTCTATTTATTTCCCTGTCTTCCCCGTGATACTTTTACATATTTTTTTGCTGTTATACTATAATTCAGTTGCCATTCCAACAACCTGTATTGTTTTAAATATTGTATGGGCTGGTAGTTTGGCTAAATGTAACATTCCCTTTTAAAACCCTTGCAATTTATGTTGCATGGATCCTGTCTAGGGAGAAAGTTGTTATTTTTTATATATAATTTTTTAAAAAAAACTGTAGGAAATTTGTGCTGTTTTCACAACAATTGAATATTGCATGAAACACTGCAGAATAAAATCTAAAGTGTTATTCGTGAAGATTTGAGTCTATTTATTTCCCTGTCTTCCCCGTGACACTTTTACATTAACATTTTTTAGTTGTACTATAATTTAGTTGCCACTCCAACAACCTGTATTGTTTTGAATATTGTATGGGCTGGTAGTTTGGCTAAATGTAACATTCCCTTTTAAAACCCTTGCAATTTATGTTGCATGGATCCTGTCTGGGGAGAAATACTTTCGAGAAAATAGTAGAAAATTTATTGGGGCTTGGGATGTTATTTCATTTATTCTATATGTTGCATTAACCAAATTCATCTTTTAATGTTTAACAATAAAATGTAAAAAAACATTCTTTAAATTTTTTTATTGGTTATGTGTTAAAATGTTAATTAACAAATATGTTATCATTTTATACATTGATACTTAGTGTTTTTAAATGTAATTTGATTGAAAACTTATCTCTAACATGTTTTGTGTAATTTTAAAATATATAAGTGTACTCTTTCTTTACAAGGTACTCGAGCCTGACTTTAGAGCTCCTTATGTTAATGTCAATAGGTGGTTTTTGACATGTGTCAATCAACCTAATTTTAAAAGTGTTATTGGTGATGTTAAGCTCTGTGAAACTATGGCTACTTTTGATAACAAAAGGTACCTGGAACTTCATCCTAAAGATCAAAAAAAAGGTATTTTTGATATTTTCAATTTTAAGTCATTGCTTTAAAATGTAGCCATATTAATTCTTTTATTGGTTTTTAATTCTTTAGTAAAAGAAGTAAAACCTAAAAAAGAAGAAAAACCTAAAAAGGAAGAGAAATCTAAAAAAGAAGAAAAAACTGAAGAACCAGCACTAGAAGAAGATTATGATACCCCTGCTCCATCTAAAAAAGTTGATTACTTTGCTGATGTCCCTGAAAGGTTAAATATCTTATGTATTTAGTAACTTTTTCTCGGATATTTTGTATTTAGTAACTTTTTCTCGGATAGCATGTATTTTAATGCTTCTGTATACTTATTTTAGCAAGTTTGTTATGGATGACTGGAAAAGAATGTACTCTAATAACAAAAGTGATGTTTATTTGCCTTGGTTTTATGAAAACTATGACAAAAATGCAGCAAGTATTTGGCATTGTGAATATATGTATAATGAAGAAAATAAAGTCAAATTTGTTACATCAAATCTTGTCAGTGGTTGGATGCAACGTCTTGATGGACCTCTTCGTAAAAGTGCATTTGGTGTTGTAATGACTAATCATATTGAGGACAAGAATTACTATGCTATTCATGGCATTTGGTTGTTTCGTGGTCAAAATCTTGCTTTTAATGTAAGTATTATGTGTTTAAGATAACCCTTATGTATTTGTTTTTATATCAAAATTATTTGAACATAATTAGTTAAATTAATAAAGGGTTTTTGAAGTTATTATATTTAATATAAGACATTTATAAAGAATTATTATTTGAATTATTGATTTGATTTTATATTCTTTCCAGTTGAATCCTGATTGGGGAAGTGATTCTGAATATTACAAATTTAAAAAACTTGATCTCGCTGTTGAAGAAGATAAAAAATTATTCGAAAAGTACTTTCACGATGTGGAAAATAATTTATATGCAGACTTCCATTGCTACAAATAAATTCGAATTAAAACTCGATCATACCAATGCACTTTTGTATCTCTTGAATAAAAATAGGCTCGTAAATTAAATCTTTTATTTTTTTATTCCTACTGATATAAAACTTGTTACTGAACTTGCAAAGAACAAGTGATTAAGTATAATTATCTTGTCAATTTGGGTGGCATCGTTTTTTTAGGTGTTTGTATCGCTAAGTGGGTACATGTATAGAAGTTAAGTTTAACATGCGCATAATATTTGCAACTCAATTTTTTAATAGTGTGTTGGGGGCTGAATAAATGCAAATCAGTTGCTTAACTTGACTAATCTCCTTCGTTCGTCAAGTTAACCAGATGCTTCTAATAAGCATTTAAATTGTGATTCTGATGGAGTTATGACTTCATAAATTCTGTTCCCTAAAAAAATCAACTAATTTTTAAAATTATGTTAAAGTCATCGAGTTTCATTTGGCTTTTGCAAAAGATCGTCCAGTTTATCACCATTCGTAACATGCACTGTGTCCTGTATGTCTGAATTTTCTTTTCTCCGAAAGTATAAGGATTCTGGGTCGTCATTCAACTCAGAAATGTTAAGGCGGTTTTCCACAAGACGAAATACTCGCGCGAAGCGAATTTTTTCGCTATAACGAAACGCTGTTTTGATTTCCACCTACTTTCTTTCGCGTTACTTTTTTTTCATTGTCAACAATTAAAATGGCAGCAATAAGTTTATGGTGTATGTTTAACTAAAAGCAGTTATTACATTTTTTAGCATACTTTCTACTTTAAAAATGTTAAAATTTCTTTCCGTGCATTAATAATAACATTTCTGTCTTTATATGTAAGATGTGATATCATTTTGTAATATAATCATTAATTTAAGGTTTTTTTTACAAGAAAGTATAAGAAAAAAAATGCTAAACTCTGATATGATCATTTCTATTAAAAACTGTTACTGCAAAAACGAAAAGCAGGTTTAATTCTATGTAGGTTTTTACACGAAAAGTTTTATCTTCGTGTAGCCACTTGAAAACAAACACTTTTATGAAGTGTAACTTTTGTAATTGACCGTGTGAAAATTTATATTTGTAAACTCTCGATTTAGTTTTATATATGTCTTGTCATTTTTTTTTTGTATAAGCCTTGCTCCTTGTTTGATGAATTTACTCATGCTTGTCAATTTTCAGAGTAAGTTCATATAAAATTAATAATAACGCTAGGTTAAGAATTTTTTTTTTTTTTACTGTTGACATCACGTGATATAATATTCAAAACTTGATTGGTTTTCGCATATGGCGATTCGCAAAAAGTCGACTTTTTTTTTCGCTGAAGCGAAAAAATATCAGAAAAATTACCAAAATTGTTTAATCTGCGCATGCTTATCGACGAAAAAATTCGCTTCGCGCGAATATTTCGTCTTGTGGAAAACGGCCTTTAGTTATCTTAATAATAATGCTTTTAAATTATATTGTATCCCCAAATTAACATTTTTAAAGATTTAAAAGCGGAAATAAATTTAATTATTGAAATATTGTGGACCTTTTTTAAAGACGAATAAACCCATGACTATTCAATACCTTTCAAATCAAAGTTGTCCTTTTAAAGCTTCTTTAACTTCGTAAAAAATTTACTAGTTCTAGATGTAAGATCTCAACCGTTATCTAATTTTAATGCAAAAAACTAGATAATACCCAAAAGATAGTTTCAAGTCATAACCAGTAAGCTTTCGGTCGATACTTTTTTTCAATGAGGAAATCCAGGTTTTGCGTTTTTTGTAAAATTAAGACCCGAATCCATGATATTCATCTGAGTTTTTTGACATTACAGCTCGAGTTGTTGCGTACCAAATTGCGAAAACAGAAAATTTAAATGCAGTAAGTAATATTTTAATAAGTTTTTAAAAAAAGAAGAGCAATGGGCATTATGACGAGCGGTTTTAAAGAAAGACTTTAGTTTAGCCGAACTGTGAATTTTACACATAAACACTCGAGCTTCGTAGAAAAAGTGTTGATAAAAACCATGCTGACTTTTTTTCCTCGATTAAACACATATAAAAAGTAAAAGAAATTTATTGTATATAATAATCGAATCGTTTGAACAAGAGATCTACCAAAAGTGCTCATTGAAGAAAATAATATTAACAGCTGATTAAAAGAATTTTTTTTAGTTGTCAAAAAATCTGAGAAAACTGCCAAATTATGAGAACTAAACAATGAAATTGTTGCAAGTTCAGTTTAAAATATAATCAAGAAGGCAACGTTCAGTTTAAAACTTAATGAAGATAGCAAAGTTCAGTTTACAACTTAGTAGTAACATGTAAATTTACAAATAATTAATCTTTTGATTTAAAAATTAACAAATAATGTTTAAATCAAAGGATTAGGAATAATATTTACTTAATCATTCAAAGTTACCTCACAAATGGGGTTGCTTTGAATATTTTTTGCAGTAAAAGCAAAATATTTTAATTGGTTTTAATATTCAATAAAAACAACACTAGGTTTATATAAACTTAGTATTACTAAAAAAATAAAATATAATTTCATACCGAGCCCTAAAAAATTCTGACCATTTTTTATAAAGTATGTAAAATATACAAAATTAAATGATTTTTAAATCAGATATAAAACTGAGAAAAAAATTAAAACGATAAATAATCAAAATATAAACTATTTTTTATATTTTGATGGTTAAGGTTTAAACAAATTCATATAAATACTTCTAATATTTACAGCGAAAACAAAAAATTGAAAAAAAAAAGGTCTTATGGATAACAACTTTGCAATAATGAATTTTTAGAAGGCAATTTCAACATCCAACTTAATTAAGATTTTATTTTTTTAAGTGCTGAAATTATTTAAATTCATTTTTAGTGATGTAGTCTTTATTTAAAAATATTTATATGTTATTTTTATATTTGAAAATATTTTATTCAAAATTTGTATAAGTTCATGACTTTAACTGTTCTCGTTCTTTTTTGTAAAAGTTTCTCACTTTATTTGAATTAGAACAGATAAGGCTCTATATTGTGAACATTGTTCAGGGGTGCACATAGGGTGGAAGATCCAGGATCATCAGACAACGAAAATTACTAGAAGTGCTTTATTAGTATTATTATTATTATTATTATTTTTGAGGTGGTAGAGTTAGGGCCATCTAGTAAATTTTTAATGATCTACCCTGCGCATCATGAAGACTCTGTGCGCCCCTGACCTTGTTATTATTATTTTCATTGTTATTTTTATAATCTTAATAACAACAGTTTTTTAAAATAAATATTGTCTTTATTATTTTAAATTTCTTATAGTATATCCTTAAATGTAAGAATTATAATCTAAAATATTTTATTGATTGATTTTCATATATTCAAAATTACTGTAATATAGTTTTGCATGTAATAAAATGCTGCTCTTGCATGAGAAAAGACGTAACTGAATTGCATTTATAATTTCTCAAGTTTCTTAAAAGCTAACCAATCAATTCATTAGGGTTTTAGAAAAAGTACTCTGACCTATACGACCAGTTACTGTATATATAAACCATAGACCTTGTTTTAACTTGTTTATTATCTTGATTAAAAATAAGTTTAAAAGTAATGCTATGAACAAGACAACAGGTTACAAAGTTGTAAGATTTAAGACGTTTGTAGAATTTAAAACTAGCGTTTGTGAACTGATTTAAAAAGATAACATATTAGATAAAATATATCAGTAAAGTGAGATAAGGCCATTTGCCTCTAAGAATTAATTGTACAGTCTTTTCATAAATAATACGGATCTAAATTAATCTCTAGAACTGCTAATTTTTATTATAATATCCTATAATACTTATAAATAAAGACTTTTATAATTCGGATATGGCATAGTTTGCTAAGAAAGCTACAATCTAATCATTTTCTACAGATCTATTTTTGCCGACTTTTGTTTGTTTATAGTTTTTTGCCACCCATCAGGGCGGATATAAAATTTTGCGGACGTTAGGAGTTCATATGAATATCATGAATTATTTAATTTTGTTTAAACCGTTTATACTCATTTTCTTATAATAATTTGCGATAGATAAATAATTATGTATATTATATTAAATAATTATTTTTAATATATACCAAATTTGTTATAACTTATCAGTATATATATCTACTATCCAATTATATAAGTCATTAGCAGTTCCGACGTTAACCCACGGTCTAGAGCTCTGTGAAAATAAAGATGCAACAATGATAAGACTCGACACATTTGGAAGGAACGCAGTTAAATCAATTTTTAATGTCTCCAAGTATAGTAAAAACTATATACACTCTCTATTTAAAATTAAGGAGATGTCAAATTATATATACCAAAACAAAATAAATCTATTTATCCGCCTTTTAAACAATAAAGTAACCTTTGAAATCATTAACTCCCAACTTAACTACTGTTCAGCTAAATTTTCTTTTTTAGATGATATAAAAGAATTATATGATAATCATAAACTAAATATGAAAACCTTAATGCTGGTTAAAAAAAAAGTAAAACTTAAAGTCTTAGAGGATGTAATTCCTGAAGCTACTCTTCATATTTTAGTACACGCGGTTCAATGTTGGAATGTAAAAGAACTGCGAACAATTTTTAAAAAGACACTTGAAGAAAACATTCCTAAATAATACTTTTTTTTATTTCATTTTCTTAGTTTGTGTTTTTACCTTGTAAATTTATTTTACAGAGGGTGATTAATAAAACATTAATAATAATATAACTATTAAAAACGAATTCGATATTCAAGCACTTATTTTATTCGGGTTAGGATTTTATTAAAAACGTTTTGACTTAGGCTCTCTTATCGAATCTCTATTCCGACGGTCTCCTTTAAGTTCGCAAACATTAAAAAGCTAATTCATTTTGTTCAAGACAACCTATGCAAACCCTCAATCGATGTATGCACACTCAATGAGCCTATGGCTAAATAAATCAGTCGATATATGTACACTGCCTATCTCTATATATCCTAATTTGCCTATTTCCTAAAACCCCGTTTTCGGACGTCAAGGATGCTCAACATCGGAATATAGGTTTGAAAAGAGAGACTGCCGTCATAACCCTACTGTATAAAATAAT